TGTATTTTCATATATTTTCCAAAATTTCTACTTTAGGTTAAACTRAGACGTCAAAAAAGGAATGCACGTTTGCTAMTTAGATCCTCTCACATCGGCGAAGACGACACCACGTTCTTCAAGATGGGTCTAGTGCGAGCGAAGACTGGGGACAATATGACGTCAAGTGATGCATATGTGTGGAAAAATCTWCACAATGATGGAGAAAAAAGCTTTCAGGTAATTTCACAGATGAAAACAAACAATTTTCTTATATTTAAAGGATATAGYAGWGTAATCGAGGGCATTGTGWTGTGATARCTGCTCGCGAAATCGAATTAAACTGAATGTCCCAAAATAACAAACCAACAAACAAAAAACAAATAATCGCGTGCCTGAGAACGCAATTCAAATTTTTGAGGAACATCCAGTTTCCAAGGGCAAATATCACACAAAAATGCCCAAGATTTTTAAAAAACTGCTGTGTATTGTTACAGTTTTTTTTCGGTCYATGGACAAGTACGCCATCTTGAAAGATATCAAAGCCTTTGCATAAAAGCGAGACAGTAGTTGAGCCTGCAGTGATAGATACCTTTTGTTCACACCCAATACAACAGTGTGGTCTACAGGTATCTATCATTGCAAGCTAAATTTCTGTGTCGCTTTTATGCAAAGGCTTGGTTACCTTTCAAGATGGCGCTTGGAGCGCTGTAAAATAGAGTATTAATCAAGGTGAAAACCTTGCATAGTTTGGCATAAAAGCTTCAATATTCTTAACGTCTTGTTTTAGACCTTCAACACTGCTGATAACCGTGCTAAAGGAGGTAAGGTAAGACATTGTCAATCATTATAGTTCTCCATTTTCGAAATCAAAAGGAACAACAACCGCTGTAATATAAGGCCTTCTCCGCGCCAAAAAACTGCCGTAAGTCGCCATAAGTCGCCCTAAGTCGGCAAAGGGACCCACCTAAGCATTATCTAAATTTCCTTAAGTGCCCCCCCAATTACCCTCATTTTTTTAAGATGACTTAAGTTGCGGCGACTTAGCTAGGGCCAGTCCACACTGCAACATAAGTACAAGCTACATAAACAAAGGGTTTAAGGATTTTTTTAAACATATGTTTTTCTCGTTTATTCCTTGTCTTTGATTAGCTTATGCTCTGCATTACTTGCTATGCTTATATCGATGCACGCTTGACTTCATTCCTTTGTCTTTGATATAAGCTTATGCTCTGCTTTATGTTACTTGCTATGCTTATATCAATGCACGCTTGACTTCATTCCTTTGTGTTTCATTAGCTTATGCTCTGCCTTATGTTACTTGCTATGCTTATATCGGCAATGCACGCTTGACTTCATTCCTTTGTCTTTGATTAGTTTATGCTCTCTACTTTATGTTACTTGCTATGCTTATATCAATGCACGCTTGACTTCATTCCTTTGTGTTTCATTAGCTTATGCTCTGCCTTATGTTACTTGCTATGCTTATATCGATGCATGCTTGACTTCATTCCTTTGTGTTTTGAGTTATGGCTAACCCTATATTCCCAGAAGGCTTAAATTTTAGGTCTCACGGGAATTGATGTGTCGCCCCGGAATCCGGAATCCAATGTTTCGGAATCCGGAATCCAGCGCTTTGAATCCGRAATCCTCTAGTTCTCTGGATTGTCTTACATGGGGACGAGGCGTGGTACTATCTCACTTATTGTATGCAAATCTAGTTATGCACCAATCTCCTTCGAACTTGATCATTAAGTGAGAACTCACAATAATTTAATTTAAATGTTTTCACTCGATGTAATTTTTTACAGGCTTCAAATTCTGAAGGGAAAGAGAATGGCAACGCTCGCCGTCAAAGTGGCCACTCTGATACAGATTCAGACACAAGCAGTGAGGAATCAGACTCTCCTACTAAATAAAGTACACTGAACACTTRCAAAAATATAATATCAACAACAAGTATCTTGCACGTACACAAATAGCTGCACTGCATCAGGTCGCTGCTTATCTTCTCTGTTTCATTTCAAGGACTTGTCTATGTAGTTCAGAYTGTACTTTCTGCGTTTGATAAGGTGCTTCTAAACAAACACTAGCCAATTTCAATACAAGACCGTACTTCTTTGCTGCATATCAAAGAATTGTATGTCATTCGCGCGGGATCACTGTGCATTTTAGTTTTGGGCTTCAGTTAGTCAATTCATGGCATATATGAAACAAACAAAATGTCCGTTTATTCAGAAGTCTTTTTGCTATAATATCTGCAAGTTTTAGACGACTTCAAAGTTTAATAGTCAAAAATACACCAAAAACCTGTCCAAACGTATTTCCAAATAAGGCAAGATTACCATATATGGCTACTAAAGGATGGACAACTTTTCTCACGCAATTCTTTGATGTGCAGCTTTGCTTGCAGCTTTGTCCTATAGTGCACGAGCGTCGAGAAAAACGGCAAAACAAAACAGTATAATCATAATCATGATAGGATGAAATAGAATTTACAGATTGTAGCAATTAACATCGATTTTGGCATAATTATTTTGAAAGATCCTAAACGTCATTTGCAGTCATTTGCAGACTGCCAGCTGCCAATAGTTTTTTACTTCACGGTTCCCTCCGACATCTTGAAAGGTACCCGTGCATTAATTAACTTCGAAGCAAGACAACCGTTTAGCATGCAATGATAGAAAACCTGCAAATAATTGTCTGTAGGTGTGAAAGAAGGTTTCTATCATTGCACTCTCAACGGTCGTCTCGCTTTGATGCAAAGGCACGGCTACTTTTTGAGATGGTGCAGGGAACCGTGAAGGAGACTATTCTATCAATGCCTTGCGCATTKATAGAATAGTGCGCCATTGAGGTTGTTTTTTATTTCCTTTTGGGGATTAGTGAAAAATTTGGACTTCTATTTGCTCAGTTTTGAGTAGTTCGAGCTGTCTTTTTTATTCWTCAAAACGTTTAAAATCTAATTTCAAATCGAAAATGAGTAAAATGCGCATGGCATTCTGGTGGTTSTAGTTAAAACATTCCACCATGCAAATAGACTAATTTTATATTATATAATTAAGTGTTATTGACATAATGCAAGATAAGTATCTACCAAACTTTATATGGGTTATAACAAACCAGAATTCTGGTTCTATTCTGATCTATTCATGATAAAGCATGACACAGAAAATGTGTTTATGGCCTTTTCTTTTCAAATTTACCCAATAGTTTGTTGGATACTAAAATAATTAGACCACTTCTCGTCAACTGCGAGTTGATAGTCMATTCGTGGTGGAAACTAGTGGTAAACTAGTGAAAGATAAATTTCATACCGTAAAAATAGTTGAGACAACTTACTGGGGTTTCGGATGTTAATCCTTCATCGGAGTGAAGAGTCCATGCATTCGTCCGAGTAATGGTCCACGGACTATAATCTCGTAGTCAATTCGATCTTGTGGTCTATTAATCATTAATACTTAAATTTGATAATATTTTAATCAAAATCATAAATTGATTTTTACAACCCTCGTAAGGGAGTGTCTGTTGACCATGACCACACGTTATATGCACTTCTCATGTTAATCAGTTTAATACAATATGAGAGGAACAGCACAAATATATGGTTTTAACCATATAAAGGCTGACAATATATTTTTTAAATGTTTTACACGCAAASGAAAAGTTTAGCAAAATAGAACTAGAGCTTGGAGCATTTACTTTCAGTTTGATAACAAAATAAAAATGAAAGAGTGCATGGGCAGGCACATAAAGTTCTAACCATG